TTCATAGTGTAAAAGTGGAAAGTACATGCTCTAGAAATTGGATCTTAGGCCATTTTGGCTTTTGAAACATTAGGTAAAATCAAAGATATTTGATATTTTTTTGTTGTTAATGCTGTTAAGATATCAGCTCTCCTGAGAGTTTGAAAGACACTCATATTAGGACAGAGGCAGGAGACTGCAGGAGACTGCACAGTGGGCTTCCTGGCCTATGGAGTGAGAAAGCTGAGTGTCTTCGGGCAGGAGGCGTGCTGCTGGAGTAGGGTGCCTCTGGACACTTGGTGGAGCTAGGTTTGCTGACTCATGAAGCTAGAGCCGAGCACCTTCAGGCAGAGGCTTACTGGTGGAATGGGGTGCCTCTGGGCACTTATTGGCAGAGCTTCATAACACTTGTCCGAGCAGGGCAGAGGCCAAGAGGCCAGGGAGAGACATGATTGAGGGCATGGCTGAGAAGAGGCTGTCCTGATCGAAGAACTATATCCTGAGTGTTCCTGAACCTGAATTTTAACCTGTTAGTTCCCTAATAAACCCCATAATCGTGAGTATTGTCTGTGAGTTCTATGTGGCCATTACAATGATTTATTGAATTCAGCAGAGAAGTAGAGTGTGCTGTAGGAGGGACAGATGATCTCAGAGTTGGTAAAAGGACTGGCGAGAGGAGGTATGTCTGACATCTGCCTCACAGGAATCAACTTTGGGCTGCTGATCTTGATACTCTTTCCCCCTTGTGAAGTTAGAGAAGGTCAGATGCCTATACCATGCCATTTTTACATGGACGGTATAGAGTATGGGACAAAGGTATTCTCTGAGGACACCTTTCCACATATAGGTATTTAGTCTCTAGATAGTAAGGTATCAGCCAACTTTCTCAGCAGGAAATAAAACGGTGATAAATTTTGCACCACGTATGTGCCTTTTATTAGGATGTTGAGGCAGGAAACTTGACTAAACTCAGTTTTCACATGCCTGATATTATGGATTGAATTGTGTCTCCCAAAAATATATGCTGTAAATCCTAGCCGTATGCCTGTGGTTATAATCTCATTTGGGAATGGGTTGTCTTTGTTATGCTAATGAGATAGGATTAGTGTAGGGTGTATCTTGAGTCAATCTCTTTTGAGCTATAAAAGAGATTAAACAAGCAAGTGAAAGAAGCAAAGATGAGGGAAGATTGATGCCAAGCCACATGGAGATCTCCAAGGAACCAGGAAGCAGAAGCTGAAGAGACAAGGACTTTCCTCCAGAGCTAACAGAGAGAGAAAACCTTCCCCTAGAGCCAGCACCCTGAATTCAGACTTCTAACCTCCTAAACTGTGAGAAAATAAATTTCCATTTGTTAAAGCCACCCACTTGTGGTATTTGTTATAGCAGCACTAGAAGACAGAATTTGGTACTGGAAAGAGTGGGGTGCTGCTCTAATAGGTACCTAAAATGTGGAAGTGGTTTTGGAATTGGGTAATGAGTAGAGGTTGGAAGTGTTGTAAGTGCCTAATAGTAAAAGTAGAGCCCTGGTGGTGCAGTGGTTAAAAGCTCAGCTGCTAAACAAAATGTCAGCAATTCAAATCTACCAGCTCCTCCTTGGAAGCCCTATGGGACAGTTCTGCTCTGTCCTATAGGGTCACTATAAGACAGAATTGGCTTGACAGTAACAGATTTTTTTTTAGTAGTAAAAGCCTAGATTGCCTTGAAGAGACTGTTGGTAGAATTATGCACGTCAAAGGCAATTCTGGTTAGGGCTTAGAAGGAAGTGAGGAAAGCCATAGAGAAAGACTCTATGGTCTTAGAGAATACATATGGCACCAGCAACAGAATGTTGTTAGAAATGTGGACATTAAAGGTGCTTCTGATGAGGCTTTAAAAGAAAATTATGGACATGTGATTGGACAATGGAGGAAGGGCAATGCTTTTTATAAAGTGGCAAAGAACTTGTCTGGATTACGTTCAAATGTTTAGTGCAAGGTAGAACTTGTGATAAACTTGGGTATCTGGCTGAGGAGATTTCTAAGCAAGATTGTAAAGGGGCTGTGTGGTTTCTCCTTGCTGCTTATAGTAAAATGAGAGAGGAAAGAGAGAGACTCAAAAATGAACTGTATGAAATGAAAACAAAACTTAAAGATTTGGAAAATTCTGTTGTACAAACTAAGGACACGTGTCCTAGAACATTCACCAAGGATGTGGCTACACATCTTTTGTTAAAGAGATTCAGCCCTGTGACTGATGGATCTAACCAACTACCACAGCAGACAACCCATCAGCTTAGACTGAAGGGTACAGAGAAAGAATGAAGGGAAAGAATGCTGTCTGCCTCTTGGAATTCTACAGGCAGGCAACAGACCAAAGGAGCTACATCTGTTGTCCTCCAAGAAAAGAAAAAGACCATCCCTGGAGCAGCTTTGAGATCAGCAGGATTGTTAAAAGGAGCACATGAAGCAAGTCCTTCTCGGTTTCACAGGGTGGGGCCACAGTCTTCTGGCTCTCAAAGGGTGGGGTCACAGCTTCCTAGGTTTCAGAGCTGGATCTTTTCCAACAGGGTTCCAGAGTGTTGGGCTGCCATTAAGGTGTGCCAGGGGAATGGGGCCACCACCCAAAGCTGAGGAGATGGGGCTGCCATGTCCAAGGGGCAGAAGAATGGGGTCTGCTGGTGCTGAGGGGGTGGTGTCGCCACTCAGATGGATTATGAGAATGGGGCTACCCAAATGCGACAGAGCAGAGTTGCTGTTCCAGTGGTCCTGGAAGGTGGAGTTGAAGCCCAAGGCGAGAGGCCTCCACCCGGAATCTAGAGGTGTTGAGTGATAACCCAGCAGCATCTGGACCACAAGGTCAGCTGCGTAGCTAAGATAGCAAAGACTCTGGAACCAGCAATCGGGACATATGGTTTACTTGGGGAACTTATGTATGGGACGGTCCAAGGAGGTGGCTGGACTCAGGTTAGTGCTATGCTTACCATCTAGCAAGGGACACAAGCTTATATACCGTTCCAGCTGGGGCTAAGGTTTATTGTTTTTCTTCCCAGTCCTTTGGCGGCCAGCACTTCCAGGGACTACATATTCAGGCTCAGATGTTTTTCTCATAATTGATAGGGTTTTCCTTGGCCTTGGCCACTGCCCCAGTCACGCCACTCCTGGCTTTGTACCTTAGCCCGAGTTCATCCTGAGTTCATCTCCAGCATGCTTCAGGGGAGCAAAGCTTCAGCCATTAGGAGGGGGATGCATATAGCTGAATAGCGTTACCCTACAAGAGGGCATGGCCAACACCCAGAGTCTGGAGGGCAGGACCATTACCTAGATGGTCTCAGAGAACAGAGAGTTATTTTCAAGCCTTGAGAGTTATGGTTAACTTTCTGCTAGGTTTGGGACTTGCTTGGTGCCTATTATCCCTTCTTTCCCTCCAATTTCTCCCATTGTAATAGAAATGTCTACTTTGTGTCTGTTCCAGCATTGCACTTTGGAAATAGATAACTTGTAGTTTAGATTTTACAGGATCACAGATGAAGAATTTTGCCCCAGGATGGAATATGCCTAAAGTCTCACCTGTATTTGATGTATATTATTCAGAAGATGAGATTTTGGATTTGGAGTTGACAAACATGCAAGTTATGAAGTGTGCTAGCAAACCTCTGAAACTGAGGCACTTAGCATAATAAAATGGCTGACATGAAGTCTGAATCAAAACTCCATTTTGTTACAACCTCCTGCTTCTGCATTCCTGAGAATGTAACCTTGGCTTCTTCCCATTGGTATGCAAATGACCTTGGGCTTCTGGCTGGTGGAACCAGCAGACTCTGGCCTCCTATAGAGCACCCACTTCTGCAATTATGTGAGTGTATCCAATCCCCTTAACTCAATACACTCTATTAACCAATCACAACCAAAGCCCCCCTCCCTCCCACTGGGCGATTTCCTGCCTTCTACTTAGAGTCAAATCGACTGGACAGCAACGGGTTTACTTGTTTTTTTTCAACTTTACTGATTGCTCGCCTCAGAATCAGAATATTGTAAGCTAAGTTCCTGATTCAACCCTATAACTATGCCCATGTAACCAGCTTTTTGGAGAGCTGACTTTTACTTTTGAGATCAAATGTGTCCCCTGCTTTAGCCACCTTTGCTCTCAATAAACCTTTTTTTATTGTTATATATATTTTTTATTTTTTCATTGTGCTTAAGGTGAAAATTTACAGAGCAAATTAGTTTCTCATTGAACAATACACATATTGTTTTGTAACATTGGTTGCCACCCCTGCAACATGTCAACACCCTCCCCTTCTGGACCTTAGGTTCCCCATTTCCATTCTTCAGCTTCTCTGTCTCCTCTGGCCTTCTCATCCTTGCCGCTGGGCTGGTGGTCTGCCCATTTAGTCTCGTATACATGGTTCAACTATATGTGTTATTGTTTATTTTATAGGTCTGTCTAATCTTCGGCTGAAGGGTGAACCTCAGGAGTGACTTCAGTACTGAGTTAAAAGGGTGTCGGAGGGCAATACTCTCGTGGTTTTTCCAGTCTCAGTCAGACCAGTTAAGTCCGGTCTTTTTCCTTTCATTTTAAAGAGTAGGCATTGTCACTAGAGGGCAGAAGCAAAACCAAATGAACCCCCATGTATCTGTCACCCACTTAAAAAATGCAACATAATCTGTACTGCAAGCGCCCCTCTAGAGACAACCAATTTCGTGTATTTTTTCCCCATTCCTTTGCTTTAGGGTCGCTATGAGTGGGAACCGACTCCACGGCAACGGGTTTGGTTTTGGCGTTTTTTTTGGTTTAGGTTTATCTTGTCCTCCTCGCCGTGCCTCAGGGAGGGAGGCAAGTGGAGGCAGCTGGGCCGCTCCTTAAGTACCTTGGGAAGACTCTCAGGGCTGAGGGTTATGCAAACAACCGCTAGCATTTGAAAATAAAACCTTTCCGAGGGCCACCACCAACCAAAGTTAGAAGCTGCCAACTGCACCTTTCTCCCGCCCCACCGTCTTGTCCTCCCCCGCGACACGAAGCAGCACATGCGCACTGGCGACCGGTGGGGCCTAGGAGGCCAGTGGCGTCATCAGGCAGCGCGACCCGGTGTACTTTAGACTGAGGCGCTGAGGAAGAGGTGAGAGGGGTGATCTGAGCGACTTCAGGCAGCATGAGCGGCGGTGGACTCTTCCTCCGCGCGGCGGCGGCGGCGCGTGCCTGCCGGGCTCTGGCGGCCTTCACGACGAGCCAGCGCTCGTTGCGCACCAGTCCGCGGAGCCGAGGTTTTGCCAAGGAGCTCTTCCTAGGCACGATCGAGAAGGTAACGCCGACCCTTGCTCTCTGGCTCCCGCTTTTCGCTCTTAGCAGGAAGACGGGTCGAGATTTGTCAGAGCCGCCAGACCTGCTGACAAGAATCACCCTGGGTGTGGGGCGTTTTAAAACTCCAGATTCCCGAGTTCCACTAGCAGTCCAGCGCTTTAACCACAGTGCCACCAGGGCTTCTAACCCTTCTCTTAGAGTTGGAAGGCTTGGATTTGACCTTGCCTCTGTGACTTTACCCTTAGTTCTTTCAACCTTAAAATGGAGCTAGTGATGTCTCTACCTCACAGATGTGTTGTAAAGCCCCAATGAAATATATGGTGCGTGAAAGTGCTTTTTAAACTCTAAGGTACTCTGCAGATATAAGAGGCAGCAGAATAAGTAATTATTGCTAGCTTCAACACTTGCTAGTTGTGTGATCTTAGGCTAGTAGTCACTTAACCCCCCTGTGCCTCAGTGTGCTCATCTACAAAATTAGGTAAAAATAGTACTGATCTCCTCCTAAAAGGTGTCTTGCAAACCAAAGAAAAAAATTTGTGTAAAGTGCTGTGAGCAAGACTTGGTCCAAATGTCGCCTAGTACTGTATCACTTAGTCCCTGGTTTCTCATTAGAACATTCCTCTAAGGTTGTCAGACCTTTATACAAGCATTGCAGTTGCAGAAGCTGAGACTCAGACTGAGAGTGGTTTGCCCCTCTGGGAAGTGCAAAGCTAGGTCTTTAAAATTTGGAAAACCATTTTCCCCAAAACCTGGGGCTGTGTGGTGCTCTGTCCTGGGACCTCATGCCTCCCAGAAGCACGGTGAGGAAAGAACACAAATCTGTCATATTTCTTCAAATCTCTGGCACCATCTTCTCCATCCTCATTCTCAACTTTGCTTTTCATCTCCCTGAGAAAATGTAGTCAGATGAGAACTTCCACCACCATATTTGCCCCCTCCTCCCCACATATATGCCCATATCTTCTACATTCTCTCTGTTACTTTGGGTGAACTGTCTACTAGCAAACGCCAGCTCATCACTAGACCCCGTGTCTTCTCATTTACTCAAGGACATTGGTCCAGCAATTCTCTCCTTTCTCACGTGCATTATTATGGATTGGATTTTGTCCCCCTCCACCATATGTGTTGGAATCCTAACCCCTATACCTAGGGATGTAATCCTGTTTGGCAATAGGGTTTTCTTTGTTATGTTAATGAGGCTATACGACTGTAGACTGTGTCCTAAACCTAATCACTTCTGAGTTATAAAAAGCAGATTAGACACATACACATGCACACACAGGGAAGGGAGGAGAGAGGGACAGGATGCCATGTGAGGATCATCAAGGAACAACTAGGGGTACTGACAAGGAAGAAACTGACATGGCTGAGACTCTGATTTGGACTTTTAACTTCCAGAACTGTGAGAAAATAAATTTCTGTTTTTAAAGCTGCCCTGGAGCCCTGGTGGCACAGTGGTTAAGAGTTCGGCTGCTAACCAAGAGGTCGGCAATTCCAATCCACCAGCTGCTCCTTGGAAACCCTATGGAGCAGTTCTACCTCTGTCCTATAGGGTCACTAAGAGTCGGAATCAACTTGACGGCAACGTGTTTTTTTGGTTTTTAAAGCTGCCCGCTTGTATTTCTGCAGCAGCGCTAGGAAACTAAGACATGCATCATCAATTTTTCCTTCTCTACTGCATCTTGAACCTATACCATTCAGGCATTTGTCCTTAACTATCTACTATATACTAAAGCTGCTCTCATGAAAGCCAATAGTGACCTCCATATTGTCAAATCTCGTGGTCTGTTCCTAGTTCTCATTTTACTTGACCCATCAGTGGCATCTGACACAGTTCATCACTCCACCGTCTTTGAAACACTTTTTTCACCTGTTGTTGTCAGGTGCCATCGAGTCGATTCCGACTCATAGTGACCCCATGTACAATAGAATGAAACACTGCCTGGACCTGCGCCATCCTCACAGTCATTGTTATGCTTGAGCAGCCCATTGATGCAGCCACTGTGTCAGTTCATCTTATTAAGGGTCTTCCTCTTTTTCACTGACCCTCTACCAAGCATGATGTCTTTCTCCAGGGATTGGTCCCTCCTGATAACATGTCCAAAGTATGTGAGACGAAGTCCTGCCATCCTTACTTCTAAGGAGCATTCTGGCTGTACTTCCTCCAAGACAATTTTGTTCATTCTTCTGGCAGTCCATGGTATATTCACTGTTCTTCACAAACACTGTAATTCAAAGACATCAATTCTTCTTTGTTCTTCCTTATTCATTGTCCAGCTTTCGCGTGCATATGAGGCGATTGAAAGCACCATGGCTTGGGTCAGGCACACCTGAGTCTTTAAAGTGACATCTTTGCTTTTTAACACTTTAAAGAGGTCTTTCGCAGCATATTTGCCCAATGCAATGTGTTATTTGATTTCTTGACTGCTGCTGCTGTGGACATTGATTGTGAATCCAAGTAAAATGAAACCCTTGACAACTTCAGTGTTTTCTCTGTTTATCATGATGTTACTTATTGGTCCAGGTCATGAGAAGTTTTGTTTTCTTTATGTTGAGGTGTAATCCATACTGAAGGCTGTAGTTTTTGATCTTCATCAGAAAGTGCTTCAACTCCTCTTCACTTTCAGCAAGCAAGGATGTGTCGTCTGCATATCATAGGTGGTTACTGAGTCTTCCACCAGTCCTGATGCCACGTACTTCTTCATACAGTCCAACTTCTCAGATTATTTGCTCAGTATACCGATTGAATAAGTATGGTGAAAGGATACAACCCTTATGCACACCTTTCCTGACTTTAAGCCATGCAGTATCCGCTTGTTCTGTTCGAACAACTGCCTCTTGGTCAATGTACAGGTTCTTCATGAGTACAATTAAGTGTTCTGGAATTCCCGTCCTTTGCAGTGTTACCCATAATTTGTTATGATCCACACAGTTGAATGAGTTCGCATAGTCAATATAACACAGGTAAACATCTTTCTGGTATTCTCTGCTTTCAGCAAGGATCCATCTAACATCAGCAGTGATATCCTTCGTTCCATGTCCTCTTCTGAATCTGGCTTGAATTTCTGACAGTTCCCTGTGGGTGTGCTGCTGAACTGCTTTTGAATGACCTTCAGCAAGGTTTTACTTGTGTGTGATTTAATGATATTGTTCTATAATTTCTGCATTCTGTTGGATCACCCTTATTTGGAATGGGCACAGTTATAGATCTCTTCCAGTCAGTTGGCCAGGTAGCTGTCTTCCAGATTTCTTGGCAGAGACGAGTGAGCACTTTCAGCGCTGCATCTGTTTGTTGAAACATCTCAACTGGTATTCTGTCAATTCCTGGAGCCTTTTTTTTTTTTAGCGTACTGATTTTTTTATTATGATTTAGATAAAGTTTACGTAGCAAATTAGTTTCTCATTAAACAGTTAATACACAAATTGTTTTGGGACATTGGTTGCCAACCCCGTGATGTGTCAACCCTCTCCCCTTCTCCACCCTAGGTTCCCTGTTTGCATTCGTACAGTTTTCCTGTCCCTTCCTGCCTTCTCGTCTTTGCTTTTGGGCTGGTGTGCCCAATAGTCTCATATATATGATTGAACTATGAAGCATGTCCCTCATATATGTTACCGTTGGCCCTATAGATCTAATCTTTGGCTGAACCTCAGGAGTGACTTCAGTACTGAGTTAAAAGGGTGTCCGGGGGCCATACTCTCAGGGTTTCTCCAGTCTCAGTCAGACCAGCAAGCCAGGTCTTTTTTTTTTTTTTTTTGAATTTTATTGTACTTTAGGTGAAGGTTTACAGAACAAATATTTTCTCATTAAACAGTCAGTACACATACTGTTTTATGACATTGGTTATAACAACCCCACAACATGTCAACACGCTCCCTTCTCAGCCTTGGAGGACCCTTTTTTCTTTTTCTTTTGGTGAAAATATACGTAGCCAAAGATACACCATTTCAGAAATTTCTACATGTACAGTTCGGTTACGTCTATTATGTTCTTCCAGTTGTGCTGCTGTTCTCACTTTAGATGAAGGTTTACAGAACAAATAGTTTCTCATTAAACAGTTAGTACACATATTGCCCTATGACAATGGTTAAAACCCCACTACATGTCAACACTGTCCTTATTCAACCTTGGGTTCCCTATCACCAGCTTTCCTGTCCCCTTCTGCCTTCTAGTCCTTGCCCCTGGATTGCTGTGCCTCATTAGTCCCATTTTGTTTTATGGGGCTGTCCAATCCCCGGCTGAATGGTGAACCTCAGGAGTGACTTCACCACTGAGCTAAAAGGGTGTCCAGGGACCATACTCTTGGGGTTTCTCCAGTCTCTGTCAGGCTAGTAAATCTGGTCTTTTTTTCTGTATTAGAATTTTGTTGTATATCCTTCTCCAGCTCTGTCCAGAACCCTCTGTTGTGATCCCGGTCAGAGAAGTCAGTGGTGGTAGCTGGGGCCAGTTCTTTTTTTTTTTTTTAAATTAATTTTTGTGAATTTGAATTTCGTTCTGTTTTTCTCCCACTGTCTCCAGGACCTTTTATCGTGAGCCCTGCCAGAGCAGTTGGTGGTGGTAACTGGCGCCATCTAGTTGTTCTGGGCTCAGTCCGGTGGAGGCTGTGGTAGTTGTGGTCCATTAGTCCTTTAGACTAGTCTTTCCCTTGTTTCTTTGGTCTTTTTCATTTTCCTTTGCTCCAGCTGGGATGGAACCAGTAGGTGTATCTTAGGTGGCCGCACGCAGGCCTTTAAGACCCCAGTTGCTACTCAAAGTAGGATGTAGACCATTTTTTTAATAAACTGTGTTAATGCCAGTTGAGCTAGAGGTCCCCAGCCCTCAGCCCAGTAACTTGGTCCCTCAGGGCGTTTGGATATGTCTGAAGCTTCTAGGACTTTTCCCTGGTCAAGTTGTGCTAACTTCCCCAGTACTGTATACTGTCTTTTCCTGTACTCAAGTTACCAATTATCTACTATCTAGTTAGTGTTTTTCCCTCTCCACCCCTTCCCTCCCTGGGAACCATC